TTGATATATTAGCCCAAGGGCTTTCTCAAAAAAAAAAAAAAAAAAGATAAAAATAATATATATTATTCACTTGATCTTTATATTTGATAAAAATAATATATATTATTCACTTGATCTTTATATTTCAAATTATGGTGAAACTTATAGCATTTAGCATTTATTGCATTTAATCGCCCCTGTGGACCCTCCCCATGAAAATACTATTTCTGCGATTGATGAGAAGCTGGATGGCCCTGCTGAGCAACCTACACTTTCAAACCCTCCTCAATTGCAGGAAACATTAGGTGAAGAGGAGACAATTATTAGGTCATTAGGTGAAGAGGAGACAATTCATGCTTCCCACACGAACCTACAGTCGTTGCAACAATTGCCAATCCTTCTTCTGGTGCTCATCAGCTTTTATCTGCCCGGCGTTCCTCAATTGCAGGAAACATTAGGTGAAGAGGAGACAATTCATGCTTCACACACGAACCTACAGTCGTTGCAACAGTTGACAATCCTTCTTCTGGTGCTCATCAGCTTTTATCTGCCCGACGTTTTGTTTATCAACACGATTATCAGATGAGCCAGTCTTCTGAGGAGGAATGTCAGCTCTATTCAAGGAGGAAGAAGATTAGAGGTAAACTTCAGCTCGGGAACCTAATGAATGATTCTTTGGTTACTTCGGGAAATGACTCGACACTCAACAATTTGTTATCTGGATCTCACCCTAGAACCCTAGATCACCCTAGAACTAGAGGCAGAGGCAGAACTAAACTGGCTCGTCCCTAGCTACTTTTTTTGGCTCGTCCCTGTATCTTTCCTGTATGTTGTATTAAGGTTTAGATTGGAATTTTGCATAAGATTTTGTTTAGGATATCCTTCGGCTTGTTGTATTCCCCTTCTAGGGTTGTATCTGAAGGTGAGAAGATGATCTGACTATAACTCGTCCGAAGTGGTGACCATCTCCCAAGGATTGAATGGTGCTCCAACTATAGTTTGACATAGTGGAGATATTTATCGTTGAATTCCCATTCTCGACAACCCTTCCTTCGCTGCCACCGCCACCTTTCCTCACCGTCAGAACCACCAGACAACACTCATGCTGTCTTCCTGCAACTCCACCAGCCAGCCACCACCTCCCTACCTGATGACATCCTTTTCCAACCACTTCCCACTTTACTGAAACCCATTCCAACTGCCCGTCTTAGTTATCCAACCATCTCCCCTGGCGGTTATAGCCTTAAGGCAACCCTACCTTTATTGTCTCGTCATTCCACGCCTCCCTGTCTCCGCTTCAGTCATTCCCACTCGCTCCCGCCACCCCAAATAGTCGTTCTGGCCTTTTTTATTTATGCCAACCACCAGACCGGTCGTTTCCCTCAGTCCAACTTGCTGCCATTGCCACAACTCCTCACTTTCATTCTGACTCCCTCTCTTGCTGCCGCAAACCAAGACCGCCATTTTCAGCCATTTCGTTGCTGTCCAGTCTCTCCTTTTTGCTACCACCACCATTTCAGCCCTCCATCATTGTTGCCATCACCATAGACAACCCTCCCACATCACCCACTGCTCTTTTCTTACTGCCTGACACGAGAAGAAGCCGCCTTGCTATTTTCTACTTGCCAACCGCCTTTCCAGCCTCATGTCACCTTCCAAACCCTCGTCAATCATCACCACCATCCTTGGGATACACTCTAGTTGTGTTTGTTAGTGTCTGTTGTATTTTCCCTTCTAAGTTTGTTGGTTGTAATTGTACATTTGCTTTCGCTAATAGTATTATTGTTTCTATTATGATTTGGGTTAACTCTGATATCATTTATAATAGTATTATTGTTTCTATTATGATTTGGGTTCACTCTGATATCATTTGGTATGATAGCCACCCTAACACTAGCCTACCCTAGGGTTTCTAACATCCTCCAAACCCAAACCTATCTTCACCCCCACTAATGTTTCTTTCCCCAACCTTTATCACCATTACAAACCTCCTTCCATCCACCCACACCTAAACCCTAATCATGCCTCCAAGCAGATAAGTGTTGAACTCCGATCAGGAGTTTACAATGGAAGATATACAACGACACTCTTCCGAGTGCTATAACGGCTCAATGAAATTGAGGAAAAAAAACCATTCAGAGGGGTCACACAAACTCAATTCGCTCCTTAAGATGAAGAACCATTCCAAAAATCTGGCATAAAATATTAGAGAAGCCAGAATTTTGAAGTAAACGTGGATGTCATAATTTGATAGCCACATGGATACAGACGAAGCATCAAGTGACTCGGGACCTTAGAATGCGTTATTGAGAGCTAGGGCATCTCACCTAATGGACTGATAAAACTGAAAGCCAACAAGTTAAGGAAGAGTGCATCTCAGTGGTGGGCAAACTTGAAGTTTCTTTGATAGCGAGAAGGGAAGAGTAAAATTACTACATACCAATTCCTATCAACTCATTATAGACCGAATGTTCAGATCCCAACTTCAAAGATGGAAAGACCACATCATTAAACGATCATCACATCTTATAGACAGGGGTCAACCCCATGGTCAAGCAACAAGGGTACACTCAACAGAACGTTCAAGCCAACCTCACCTAAGATAACAATAGTTCAGAGTGGAGCTTTCCCAAATTCGTTCCAGTCAGGAAGTGATTAAAGTGCAATGAATTTTGACATTGAATCAGATTGCCCAACCAAGAAAATGATCTCATTCACTAATCAGAGAATTATTGAAGAAACGAGCAATGACACAATATACACTAAAAAGGTGAGGAAATGAATGATGAGGATCAAATTCCAACCAATGAGGGAGAAATGCAGATTGTTCAAGTTGAGCCATGAGAGAGACTCCAACTGAATTAGCACTGATTGTCCAAGATGGTATTGAGTTTGAGGAACCAATACCAGAGGCATGACAACCCTATAAAAGAGAAATTCAGACTTTTCAAATATATTGCATCCTTTTTTAGTTGCTTTATCGAGGGAGGTCCAACATATTAGAGATGAGTAGCTTTTAAGCTACTTCTGGAAGACCATATGAAATTGTTTAGGTAGTACAATTAATTCAACAGTATACCCATCGATAGATGATCAAACAGAAGGCACGACCAACAGTGTTGGAAATTATCTTACGAGCATAGCCGTAAGAAAAATTCTACAGTAGGATCCAAAACCTTTCAAAGAAGACGAAGAAAAGACATCTCCTAAGTGGTCACTTCAGTGTGATCTGGCCTACCTTAAATTTCATCCCAGAGTTGATTCTTTTTAACAAGCTTGTTTATCAGATACATTCAGCCGAGTACGAGAAGTGGAAGAAGAATGCTACAGACTTGAGAGCATGAAAATTACTTTGTGAAAATGTGCATCTATATGTAATTCCAGCTTAGATTGTGCCAAAAGTGGATTACTTATTCCATCAAGATATGCTTTGGAATGACAACGCCGATAGGATTGACATAACAGAAGCTTGCAACATTTCGGCAACCCTCAACGGGGCCAATCTGACTATTATGAGAAGACAAAAGCTTTAACAGATGAGGTCGAAGCTACCTCAATCCTGGGAATTGATGTAGGAGCTTCCTGCTTTGATTTCTGTCACGATTTTTGCTCCTGTGATGTCTCCCATTACAGTGCGGGATGCGAACCACAAGTGTGCTAGTTCACGCGAATAACACAACCAAAATGAGTGGGTCCATTTTTTATTCCTTTCAAATTTTCAGCGAGTTTCCTCCTTTTGTTTCATTTATTTCTACCCATTTCCTATATATATGTTGTATTAAGGTTTAGATTGCCACTCATTTCCTATATATATGTTGTATTAAGGTTTAGATTGGAGTTTTGCATATATTTATGTTCAGGACAGCCAACGGCTAACGGTGTTCCCCTCCTAATTGTATCCAAAGGCAAGAATGTGCTTTGACTGTAACTCGTTTGAGGTGGTGACAGTCTCCCAAGGATTAAATGGTGCTCCGACTATCATTCGATCACGCAAAGATATTTCTCCTCGATTTCCCATCCTCCACACACCTCCCTTAGCCGTCTCCACCATCTTTCTTAGCTGCCAGAACCACCAGACAACACTCCTGTCTTTCTGCAACTTAAGCCGCCAGCCACCTCCTCTTCCACTTGCTACCATCTTTTCCAACCGCCTCTCACCTTGCTGCCACCATTCCAGCCATCTCCCCTGGCTGCTGCAGCCCCAGGACAGCCCTCCCTTTGCTGTCTTACAATCCCACTCCTTCCCACCGCTGTCGTCATTCTCGCTCGCTGCAGCCACCCTATATAGATGTTTCTGGCTATTTATGATATTCTAGCCGCACGACCAGTTGTTTTCCTCATTCTAGTTTGTCAGCATTGCCGTAACTCCTCCCCTTCACTGCTGCCATCCTCCTCCCTTGTCGTCGCAACTCAGGACCTCCCTTTCCAACCGTTTTGCTGCTGTCCAGTCACTCCTCTTTGCTGCCGTCACCAATTCAACCCTCCATCATTGTTTCCATCACCCGAACAACCCTCCCACATCACTCTAGTGTTTGTTGGCTGTCCGATACTCGACAAACAACCGCCTTGCTACCGTCCACTTGCCAATCATCTTTTCCACCCCCGCGCCGACCACCACCACCATCTTTGGGATACACTCTAGTTGTGTTTGTTTGTGCCTGTTGTTGCAATTTTTCTTTCAAATGTGTTGGTTGTAAAAGCCTATTTGCTTCCAGTAATAATATTTAATATTTCATTTTGGGGTTTAGGTTAACTCTGGTATCAACCCCCTTGTTTGATTAGTATGAATCCATGATTTTGCTGAGTATTAATTAGCCCAACCCCAAAATGTTTGGATAGGACCAACAATGAATGCTTTAAATGATGATGAGTTGTTCATATTCAAATCACTAATGCTGAAAACAATAAGGTAATTACTAGCACAACTGAACAAATGAAAACTGAGGCACAAAGACACAACTTAAAGAAAACGATGCAATTATCAAGATCATTAAACAACAAAGAAGTAGCTAAATGCTCACCTTTATATGTGCCGTGTAATGTCCACTTGCCATGCTTCCATAGTGATTGCTCAATGCATACAGCTCATAAGTTTGGCGCTGAGAATTGCCCTTGTTGGCAAGATAATCAGTCAAATCAAAGTCATGAATGGGAAAATTGACAAAAGTTTCCAACTTCTGCTTAGTAGACCGACTGAAAGAGAATCTCTTCAAATGAATAACAAGAACTTCAGGAAGCCTCCATAAATCCAATTTTTTGCTTGCCTGCCGTTGCTCCTTGCATTTAGGACAGAACCTTTTAAAAAGGAAAATATCAAATTTGGCCATAAATCTAATCAAGAAAACAAGGATATATTTAGGAGATGAGTGTAAATTCAATATTTTCAAATGTCAGGACAGTAACACTATCTTAGCTCTTGTTGGATCCTAGCAATCCCTCTACTGCACTCAAATGACCATAAAAAATAAAGAAAAGAAAAGGAAAGATGCAAGAAATAAAAGCTACAATGGAGATTACATGAATAGTTTTATATACTACACACCAATATAGTTATACTTTGGCTTCATCTGGTAATACTTTTCATTTGTTTGTTTCCAAATACCCTTCCATAACATAATTTTGATTAGGGGCATTAACATCAATAGCACACAAGTCTTATGTATTGACCTATCTTGCACCTAAGTTTTTATATTTACACACATAGCACTCAAAGTTTTAATAGCACATTAAAAATAACACTATTATCACTTTTTAATAGCAAAATATAACTTTTAATGCATAGATTTAAAACACCAAAGTGCTATGTAAATATAAAAGTTTAAATGTGAGATATGTAAATACATAAGCATTGTGTGCTACAGATTTAAATTTGCCTTTTGATTAATATAAAAAACATGCAACAAAAACTCCGCATGAGGTGTATGTCTCCATAGTTTTACAACATCATCTAATTTGCAGAACATATCATACACACCTATTAGAGTGTTAGCTCCTTTATTTGGAACAACATAACGCAGTGCCTCAAAGTATTTCCTAACTAAGCCTCAGTACTGATAACATGGTTAGTCTATTATACTAAGCAATAGCTAATTGATGTATTTATTTGTGTAATCATATTGTTGAAGCAATCACACAAATTTTCAAGCACCTGCAGACAAATGCGTAATAAGAGTCATGAAAATAATGATGTAATCACACCCGTGAGAATAAAAATAACTAATGGAAAACATAGCAGACTACATTGAAAACATTTCATTGAAGAAAAAACATAACCATAATGAAACTGACCACATGTCCTCAGGAACCAATGGCTCTTCCCTCAAGAAAGCATCAAGGCAAGCATATAAAGAGAGAGGCTCGCCACGAGATCTTTTAGGTAACGGAGGGCCATATTTGTATACTTCTGGAAGGATCTCAAGCCGGCGAGTATCATAGATCTGAAGATCCTTCTGGGACCAATTGATAAATACTACTGTTGATGATGAAGAAGATGAATATGACCGCAGCTTAAGAGGCTTCTCTTCTACAGTTGATAGATCTATGAGCTCATCATTTTCATCAACCAACTCAAGGAACAGGTGGCAGTCTGTTTCTGATCTATCATGGTTGCTTCCTCCATCTTTATGATCACTCTCAGCACATTCCTCATCAGTACTAATATAATGGTCAGTAGTATACGATGCTACACGTGAGAATGAATTTGAAAGACAACCAGGTTGCGACTTTTGACTTTGTAGCATAGGAATAAGCATGTTCTGTAACGTCCTTCGGATATCAGCGCATCGCACGGACCCATCACCCAAAAATGGAGCCATAAGTGGAGTACCGTAGGGCTTCCACGCCTTAATGCTTCCGTTCCCCTCACTAAAAAAGTTGGAAAGAAATGTGAGTACTGGCTAAGAAAATACTAAACAAAAAAAAATTGAAAACTATTCCGAATAAAGTCCAAAATGTGGTTGCATCATCCACCATATATGCAATTTTGATAGTACAATACAATATTGTGGAGAAAAAGGGCTTTTAAGGTTTTGGGACAAAGTAATGAAAAGTGACAAGAAACTTAAGGAATTACATAACCCGAACAAACAGGCTGCAATGCAGCTTATTTCATCAGACTAAGATAAAATATCATTTCACTTGATTGACAAGATGATAAAGGCTTCAAATGGAATGGGAATGTGTCTGCATATATGTTAATGGCTCCATACATATCTTGATATGTTGAATTTACTTGGAGAGAAAAATTGCTTCATCAATTATTCATAAATAGAGTACATATATATAGGGAAACCAATCCCTCCTTATTTACAAATGTACCAAACTAATGCGAGGCTGAGAGGTGGGACGCAGGCGAGGAAGGCGGGACATGGAAGACGCGGAGCCCGGAAGGCGGCACTCTGCGAATTGGAGAAGAATGAACCAGCTGGTTGCTGAAGCATGGATCTCCGGACCGGTCGATTTTCATAGAAGCAAGAGATACCGCATATCCCCCAACCAGGCGCCAATTTTCCGCCACTTCTCCACTTGCTTTTCTGGTTTCTACCCAAGAGAGGGACCTTCCCTTCCTATTTTATCTATTAGCTAATATATATATGGTTATTTGTTGAATTAGGGTTAGGTTTGGTGTTATTTCTCTTTTCAAATTCTATGTGGAGTCTCCTTTCCTCTTGTTAGGGCTGTATCCGACGATAGATGGTGCTCCGGTTGTATCCTGCTCCAAGGTGGTGTTTTATCCTTTTCGATTTCCTCCCTACGTCTTCCCCCTTATCTCCCCTTCGCTGTCGGCCACCCCTACTGCTCCCTGTTGGCCCGCCACCCCCTTTTCTTGCAGCAGTACTTGCTGTTCAGCCCATTCAGCCACCAACCAGCACCCTGCCGCCCCATTTTCCTTTCCAGCAGCCATACTTGTCATCTCCAGACACACCGTACAACCTCAAATCCTTCCTAATCCCTTACCACCTACCAAAACCTCCTCACGCCTCTCCTAATTCCACCGAACCTATCACTTTCTCCCCCACTCCTAGACATCGCCCACCAACATCCCTACCTTCCAACATCTATTCTCCATTCCTTACCAGTACTCTCAAACATCGCGCCGATGCCACCATCACCTTCGGATCCTCACCCGAGATTGGAGTTTGATGTGTTTTATTTCCGTTTTGAGTCGGGTAACCCTAATTCATTTGCATAGTAAAAATTGCTTCCGTTCCCATTGTTGTTGACTAGTTTCAGTATCATTTAGTATCAACGCCAGCCTAACCCTAGTCCTATCTTAGGGTTTCCTAGCATCCACCATAAATCAAAAATTATCTTTCCTACCACTAACTACCCTTTCCACTTCTACAAATCCCAAACCCTAACCATGTCATCTAGGAGAAACATGCCCATGTGTACCTAGGGAGAGATACAGTGAGAGATCTGTCGACTTCAATAGAGATTGACAAACATTTAGGATGACATTTTGGAGAGACACACCCTTGATGGTGATAGGAAAAGTCAAAGAGGCAAAAGAGACAAAAATTTCAACCCTATCCATAAGGAGGATGTCAGTAATGAAGATGAAAGGTCATGACGTTTCAGAATCCAGTATCAAAGGAGGCCTAGAAAGGAGCCATCCGTTGGAGGACACTGTGAGTACGAAATCAAGGTGGATCTGCTATAATTTGAGGGAGGTATGGATTCAGAAGAATATTGATCGGAGGCAAGTTATTGAATGTATCTTTGAGTATAAGGATGTGCTAGAGGATAAGAGGGTCAAATTAGTTTCTATCAAGTTGAAGAAAAGTTCCTCTTTGTGGTGGCACAACTTACAGAGACAGAGAGAAAGAGAAGACATCGAGAAGGTTACCAAATGGGAGAAGATGAAGAAAGCGACGCAGAGAAAATACCTCTCACCCCACTATTGTCAGGATGTGTTTCTGAGACTCTACTACCAGTACTAGAGGGATCCATCACCAGAGGAGTTCATGGCACAATTTGACCACTTACAGATGAAATGTGAGCTAACCGAGTCGGATGAGCACACTATAGCCTGGTAACTTGGGAGCCTGAAACTCTCTATTAGCAATGTGATACAATTACATCCTTATTCGTCACTTGGAGATGTCCTGACATTAGCATTGAAATTGGAGAGGCAGTAGAAACAGAATATGCAACCACCACCAGCCAGACAGTCCCCCCCACAGTTCAAGACATCAGTAAAAGCATGCCTCAGAGAGTTGAGAAAGCTAGGTCGGATAAGGATAGAGCCACCCCCAGTGAGAAGAAGCCTGAGAAGAGTAGTACACCAGCTACAGTCTTTGCCAGAAAGTGTTTCAAACGCCACGGATTTGGACACATTGCCTCCAGCTTGTCGATAAGCCAAGTCGTGTCTTTTACCGTAGAAGATGTTAGGGACGAGGAGAATACTGAGGAACATGGAGAGGCGTATCATCCACCACGTTCGCGAATCCTACAGGCTAAGGATACGAGGAATCCTCATTGGCTTTACCACAATATCTTCTACACCCTGCATGGTGAATGGAAAAGAATACAATATCATCATCGATGGGGGCAGCAGTAAGATTGTGACATCCACACAGATGGTAGAACACTAAGGTCTCAAGACTCAGAGGCACTCCCAGCCATATTCTTTGACATGGTTGAAGAAGAAGAACAAAGTCAACATTGACCAGAGAAGCGTAGTGGAGTTTTTGATTGGGAGCTAGCTACAGGAGCAGGTGTGGTGTGATGTGATCTCATGGATGTCTGCCAACTTTTGTTACGAAGACCGTGGCAGTTGACTAGAGGACTCAACAAGACAGATTCAAGAATACACATTCCTTCACCAATGATGGAAAACACTTCATCCTACTTCGGCGAAGCACGAGATCACATGAGCCCTTACCAACAAAGCAACATCGGTGGCATCAATTTTGGTGAAGACATGGGATGATAGGACTTGGACACCAGCTCCAGAAATGAGAAAGGCACAACAAAAGATATTTTAGGATATTAAGATCAATACCTTACCACCAACGCCACCATCATACGAGAAGGTACAAGTTACCCCCACTTCATATATGGTTAAACCATTTGTGGTTATTACGAGAGTATTTAGCAACAAAGGCGGGGCACACAGTTCAGCTCAACAGTAGACTCCCAGAAAATTGGACCATTGTGAATGGTTGCTCTTAAGTTAGGAAAGACTTTTAGGCACCTTGGAGAATGGTGCGGTCGCTAGTGGGATCCAGGTGCTACTAGGATTGCAAATGAAGAACCGGAAGCTTTGATGAAAAAAGTCAAAGCCCCCCTTCCTCCCTCCCTCCCCCCCTCCCCAAAAAAAAAAAAAAAAAAAAAAACCCTAGGAGATTGACGTGGAGTTGGGAGATGGGACACGAGCGAGGAAGACGGGATGCAGGAAATGCAGAACCTGAGAGGCGACACTATGCAATTTGGAGCCGACTGAACCGACTGGTTGCTAAACCATCCAGCATGGATCCTGGTCCAATCCCATGTTGGACCGATCGGTCTTCTTAGAAGCGAGAGATACAGCGTATCCCCCATCCAAGCCCCTGTTTTCAGCCCCTTTTCCCCTTCCTTTTCTGGTTGCCACCCAAGAGAGGGACCCCCTTCCTATTTTACCTATTAACTATCATATATGTGAGTGTTTTTTGAATTATTGGTGTGATTTTTTTTTTCAGATTCTATGTGGAGTTTCCTTTCCCCTTGCTAAAGTTGTATCCGACGACGGATTGTGCTCCGAGTGTATCCTGATTCGAGGTGGTGTTGTATCCACTCTAATTTCCTCCTTACATCTTCCCCCTTATGTTTCCTTAGTTGTCGGTCAACCCTATTCCTCCCTGTGGGCTACCATCCCCTTTTCTTGCAGCAGTACTTACTGTCTAGGCCATCCAACATCCAAGCAACACCCTGCCACCTCCTTCCCTGCAGCCATACATGCCATCCTTTCCCTCCAGCCACAGCGTACAACTGCAAACTCTTCCTAATCCCTCACCACCTACCGACATTTGTCGCCTCTCCCAATTCCACCACCAGCCAACCAAACCCTTTCTCCCCCACTCCTAGTCACCGACCACCACCATCCCTACCTTCCAACGCCCATTCCCCATTACTTGCCACTACTACTCTCAACCACTGCGCCAACACTCCACCATCTTCACATCTTCTCTTTGTGTCACAACTGGAGATAGGATTTTGATGTGTTTTATTTTCTTTTTGAGTCGTGTTGTTGCCCTAATTCATTTGTTTAATAAAAAATGTTTTTGTTCTCGTTCGTTTTGACTAGTTCCAGTATCACAGCTAAATTTGGAAAGGATATAATTCTGAATAAAAAAATAAAAAAAACATAAAATTGGAAGAGAATAAACTAAACCAAAGGTTTGCTAAGATATCCCAATCAAATCCTCCAAGATTTGAAGGTGGTGGCCGTCCCACATGAGAAAGATAAATATGAAAAAAAGCAAATCTTCTCAGATTTTGCACTATTCCTGAAGTTATGTCGTAAATATTGTAGAAGCCGAGCTTGGTATTAAATTTTGAGGTGCTGAAAAGAAGAGCTTTGATGAAGACATCAACGACTTATTGGTTTGTCGAGATGTAGCTTAGATGTATAAATCCCACATTGATCTTTACAGAGATAAATTGTCTATCAACTTCGATGTGCATGATTTTTTCATGATGCAAATGATTTTTTCAATACTGATACTGTTTGACTGTCACAAAACATTTGTATGAGCCTATGTGAAGAACAAGCCGGTTCCCTTAACAATTTTTGAATCTAGATCCCTTCAAATATCTCCCAGGCAAGTGTCATATGCTCTGATTCTACATTGCTTCTCGAAACAACCACTCGCTTTGTACTT